TTTCGAAAAATTTTATGTGGATAGGGGTGTGGGGAACAAAGAGAGGAATATTTTTGAAAGGTGGGGTTTTTTTGTTTATTTGCAGGATAAGCCGCAGCCGCCGTTAAACGGGCACTTTTTTTAAGTAAAAATTCTTGGAAAAAATCCAACGAGGAAGAGTATAAGGAATCGAATGGTAGTTGTTTACTACGAATCGGTGCGATATTGATCGAGATTGTACATCTTTTGTTTTTTGTTTTTCTAAATATAAAAATCATGTGATATAATATCATTTCGACTATTTCGCGACTTTAGCCTCCAATGGTCAAAATGATTTCGACTATTTCGACCATTTCGACTTCATGTATATCGATTATCATAAGAGCATTTTCAGCAATTGATAAAAAATCTAGTATTTTTATTGGAGAAATTGTAGCATTAATGATAAAGTAGATAAACTTAATTCTCAGTTCAAACAAAAAGCTTGAAAGAACTATAGATTGGATAAGAAATTATGTAGAAGAGCAAACTGGTTTAGAGCTCATCCAAGTCTGATTTAGATTAAGAATCAAAGGTGGCTAATGGTATTCATAAGCAATGTGTATATAATTTAGTCATGTAATACTACTCTCTTAGGACTCAGTGTCAGATAACATCCAACAGAAGTCCATGCGGTATACCATGATCATGCAGTTATATTCTAACGATCTGATTGGTTAAAACATAATATAGAGTATATTTTTTTACCTGAGCTTTGGAGGATAATATCTCGACTTCTACTGATCGAATCAGATTTATATGAATTTAGGCTTATTGGAACGATTTGAACTTACTGAAACTAGTAGTTCAATCCTCATCAAAATTGGACTGGTAGATGTTGAGAGATTTGCGTTCCAAAATCTTTACAACAAATCAGACTTTTATGATTAATTATCACCATAAGCAAAATATACTGCACTACTATGACCATGTAGTCACACCTTTTCTATCGAGAATAATAAATTTTATTATACCTAGTTTTCATACAAATAAAGATAATCCTGCTATCTGAAAAAAAAATATCATATATACATAATTCAATCATTCCAGTTTGATCTTAGGTTCTACTTTAATTCGATTATAACCCAATGTAGACACTACATCATCTAGACTATGACTTAACATAGACTCTTCGTTGACTCGATAATAATTTGATATAGACTTAGTAGACTCGCCATTAATCCAACATTTAGTTTTTTTATGACGTAAAAATAAATAGGAATACTATAATGATTGACTAAACTCTTTTTTAAAAAATTGTAATTTCGTCAAAAGTTTTATCTCTTTAATATTTTTATATGAATAAATATA